CGAAAATTTTAACATTTGAGTTTTTCTGCAGTGCTAAAAGATGCTGAAAAAGATTGTTTGCAATTGATATAATGTTGTTTTCGGATAGCGTCCAGCAATTGAAGGCCTTATCATCAATTATGCTTTTGATGCAGTCCAAAGCCTTGATAAATTATGCTATCATTGGAACCATTATGTGGTGCTTTTGATAAGGGTTTGCATGATAAGACTGCAAAATGTTGATTTATTTGCCGATGGATGCAGTTAATTGATCGTGTCTGTAGGATGGAAAATTAATTGCAGTCGTTTTTCGTTGCGATTCATTTGTCTATCCATCCTATCCTTCAGCGTTCACCTCAAATAAGAACACGACTAAGTTTTTGTTTTATTTTCATCCGATCATCTATATCGTTGTGTTCGTTCGTTCAATGAATTGTTTGTTCGACTCGTATTCCAGCTTTAGCTTTTGCTATTGTGCATGGAATAGAGTTGAAATACTTTCTTTATGAAGTTATTCAATGCTTACTCAAGATTTTGAGACAATTTCAAACTCATTTACATGGCCACATTTCATTTCTTGACACGAAATGAGGTGTTCAAATAAGAGTGAATGTTTGAAACCTTTACGGAGTTATTACAACCATCCTGTTGAATGCTTCATAACTATGACTAGTTTAAGTTTAAATTTAGTTCAACTGTACCTTCATAATGTCAGTTTCGTGTTATGTCAACTCACTGTTCAAAATATCAAACATTCACTATTAGAAACTGGTTAACACGAGATGAGATATAGGTGATTAGTAATGAGATCAGATATAGGTTAACAAATGTTGCGAGCGATACAGCTGAATTAAATCGCAAGTTAGGCAGCACTCCATTGAGTCAAACAGAACGACAGTCAGAGTTTTTGCCCTTTGGCAATTGGTTAAACTGCAACGGTTTCGTTGAGGTTCCAAACGCGAAGAAATGAACTTACAAAGGAAGGTCACGAACTTACTCCAACGTTAGCGCATTTTTATGCTTTCAAATATCACGGAATCCCTCATCAGCTAGGAACTATTCCTTGTAATCTTTCCGCCTGAATTATTGTTTGCGTTAAGTTCAACAATCTAGTAAACTAAGTGCGATCTGATAGATTATTACTTACTTTCTATGAACGCTCATTGCTCTATCATTACTTACTCGTTTGTATCGCTTTACTCATGCTCGAAGCTATCGCATGAAAATTCCACTCATTCATTTTGTTTGATGGATCGATTGTAGCGCAGCGCATCGTGAATAATTGTTTGGATTGATTTCTTGTTCATTCTGGCTGGTTTCATTCAAAGAATTCATTGTTTTCTCGTGCTTTCAGTGTGGTTTCATACCACCGCAATACGGAAATGCCTGGGAAGCACACGTTCTATGATGGTTCATCATTGTTGCAACCGCTTGCCAATGCTACAGGAATCGATGTCGCAAAGGTTGCTTTGTGTGGTTCACTTCAAAACTAAATATTTGAACGATTTAATTTTTTCACCTGATCACCTTTTCTAATTCCGAACTTATCTCGACAGACCTGTTCAGTCCGATTTCGAATCGTTAGTTGTTTTTTTTTTTGAGACCGCCGAATTATTTTCTCGATGCGGGTGGAATCTGAACTTCAAATAAGAATACGATACTTTCTTGATTTGTTTTTGCATTTTCTAATTTAATTATAGGCGAATTTGGTTGTGTGTCAGTTCATCTCATTACCGATCGCATTTCTGCACTACAAATATTTTGCGGCAAATCGAGTTTCTCGCAATGTTCGCCTCGCATTTCCACCCTTTGTTGGCATCATTTTCTGTTACTTCTGTTACGGAAAGTCAGTTATTCGCTTCTAGTTTAACGCGTTTCATTTTTTATGTTTCATTGGTATCATTGCGTTTGGCTACATTGCCCCTATTTTAAGACCATTCTAATATCACCAGTGATATAATTATGGACATGATAAATCTATTTCATGAGGACATCGATGAGATTTTCGTATACTTTTTGCCTTGTTTCTCGTTTCGTTAACGTTCTGATTAATTCATTTTTACAGTGCCATAAAACATCTGGTTTCATGTATTGGTATATCGTATGCAATAATGCATTTGTCACCAGCCGAATATGTGCACAAGTGGGTATATACCTCCTCGTTGTGTATTTTAATTTGTTCAGTTTTATAATCAATGCACGGATATGTTGTTATTTTTGTAATAATCAGCATGTTTGGTTTTGATATGTTTTCCTTGTCAGGTGTGTGTTCTTGTTTTCGATGGGATATTTGGGTTTCATTCATTGGTATCGATGGTATGTTTTAACCTCGTATACAATCGATATCACTGGACCAATGATGGTTCGTTGACTATTTTATATCCTTTGAAGATATCCTTAACCAACAGTTAGGAAATTGGATAAGAAATCGTTGATCAATCGAGAGAATTCATTGTTTTTTGCACTGTACTTGGTTGAGTTGATGTGCTCAGGATGAGAGCAAAGCAAATATATGAATAAACTTTACGGAAGCTTTTCGAACACAACAAAAATTTTTCGTCTGTGAGAGGAATATGAAGTCGATTACGTGTACAAAACTTTAGCTGATTAAAGAACTGTCAGTTTGTCAGTTGTCCTGAACGTGCTCTCTCATACGTGCCACAAATAATTATTGCCTCTCAAAGTCGATATCTCGTTTATGAGATAAACATCAAGATAACGCTGAATACTCTCAGTCACCCAGATTGATTGAAAGTGAGACGTGATTATCACATCAAGTAGTAACGAGTGAATTATTCCAGGTTTTCGTGCAGAAATTGACAACGATAGCATTCTCGCTGCATGATGGTCGTGTGAAGAAAGATGAAGAACTGAACGATGTGCAACGAAGACAAGCACTGTCGTAAGTGTTTCAAGTTAGGAATGTGTATGTGTGCTTTAGTGAATCGATATTATCAGATAGCGTTTTATGTTCTTCTGAAACTTTTCAATGACCACTGAGACAAATATGAATCTTTGTATTATCGTTTTCACTGCTTTTGTTATGTTGGTTGAAATCACTCTAACGGTAGCCTTGAACGCATTATCGAACTTAGATTTGATCGGTTCATTGGATAAGCAACTTTGTCTGTTTTCGAATTGAGAAATTAAAGGAATCTGAGAATTATGTGAGTCATTTATTGACATAGCTTGCGCATGAAAAATTGTAGATCAGTGCCACCGCTGTTGGAGTTTTTAAGTTATACGTTCCACTTTCAAACAATTTTAACGGGACCGTTGTGCTTCTTCACTGATTACATGGAGTGGATTGATGGAACGAATGCGATCGGGAAAGATGGAAAGGTAATGAATTCTTTCGTTAGCTTAATTCGTTTCTGTCATATGAAACGCTTCGCCTCACAAAAAAGATAAGTTCACAGAATTTGTGAATGATTATAACTAAATTTGACTGTGCTTATAACACTGAATTCAGATCGAATCACAATGGAAAGCCGTGATCACAAAACTTTTGCAAGTGATCCTGTTCGCATTCGTGATTGTCCAATTCGGTTCTCAGCTCTATCCGGAAAGATTGGCTGAGCCAGAAGTTATGGCGTGGCATTGGTTCCCTTGGTGGATGATGTTGTATGTTATGATGGTCTTCCAACGGGTTCAATATTATTTCGCGTGGATCCTCGGTATGAACATAATTGAATATTTATTGCGCTTTCACGAAAAATTTTTTTGTGAAAACGTTTGCTGTTCCGATTTGATTTGATGTGTGCGTTTTCAAGTTTCGATGTCTTGCAGCTGATGCGATCTGTAATGTGAGTGGTTTCGGTTTTAATGGCTATGACAAAAACGGTAAACCGCGTTGGGATTTGATGTCGAACGTAGACGTTATTGGAGTTGAGGTAGAGTGGAATATCTTCAATATTGTTCAGTGAATCACAATGAATATCTTCATTATTATGCAGTGAATGAATTTACTCTTCAAGGGTAATGTGTTGAAGTGGGAATATGCGGAGATATTTGCACAGCTGAAGTGTATTAATGCATTTGCAGTCGACATCATCCACGCACATTTCAAATTTCAAATCAGAATCATTCAAAATCAACAGAATCGTCCAATCAGTTCACATTTCCAATCACAATCCACATTTTCAGATGGCAACAAATTTTAAAGAGACGCTTGATTCGTGGAATTGCTGTACAATGCATTGGTTGCGACGAGTGGCATACGATCGAGTAGCGGAACGGTGAGTTATTACGTGCAATATTGACGAACAGTATCATTCATTGAGACGTTGAGATAGTCTGTATTGACGAACTTGGAGTGTGGGAGTTTAAAAGATTCATTTTTGATTATGAGGCAAATTAGTGTTCTGTTCGAGTGGCGGTCTAGAAATTGTGACTGTGACTGATCGTAGATTCAAGTTATTCCGAACTGCCAAAAGGTTGAACTTATGTTATCCGTTTGTAGGTATCGTACGGTCGCCACTTATTTACTGTCAGCCTTTTGGCATGGCTTCTTCCCAGGTTACTACTTAACATTCCTCGGTGGAGCACTTTTCACAATGGCGAATCGATCGGTATGGCTNTTTATGAGTTTTGCTTTTTCTTGTGCGTTAATGTGGCTATTCAATTTATGCTGAATTTTGTTCGGTTTGCTGAATGCGTTTAAAATGACATTCGTTGTTAAAAATTTGTATCAGCAACTAATATTAATGAAAACATCGAAGGGAAGAAATGAAAAACTTCTCCATTCACATGGATCGTTCATTATCCGTTAATGGTAATTCTAAGCGGGGATATGTTGTCGTCCGAATGGATGAGATCATTGAATGATTTTAGATCCGTCGCTCGTTACGACATCATTTTCAAGGAAGCGCGTTCTCGAAACGTTTCTATGATGTACTAACTTTCTTAACCACAAAAGTAGCGCTAGCTTATGTGACGTTCCCATTCGTTACACTGCATTTGAATCCTGGATTATTCGTCTACAGGTAACGTCCATTTGAGATTTTCGTTCATAAGTAAAGGTGCAGGAAGTTTATTGTTCGAAGATTTATTGTAATTGTGGTGATGAATTCAGAAGCTCGTAAATAATTCAGAAGTTTTACGTTCAAAAAACCTTTCGTTTACTAATTGTACATTGAGATTTTTGGATGGTATTATAGCACCAGTCAGAATAAAGAATTTGAGTAATTGAACGGAATTGTATGCATTTTTTTAACAAAAACTTTCTCAAAGTTTTTTGGATTCGTTTATAATCGCCGATAAAACTGTGCTTGTGATTGAGATTGTTGCATTCGTGTAAACGACGAACGATTTATAATCAATTTTCAGAAGTGTCTACTTCTGTGTGCACATTTTGGCACTGCTATCGATAGTCGTGTTACCGATTGTGATGCCTCCACCACCGCGAGCGAAGAAATCCGTGAAAAAAACTGAAACTGAGATGGCAAACGAGAACGGAGGTCTAAAAAAGGTTGAGTAATACGGACAAGTCTTCGAACAGATGGAACAGGGAGATTTTTGATTCGGACTATTGGTGTTTATGAATTAATAGTATTATAACTGATGTTATCGACGTCTTTTTTATTGTTTCAGTACTATCAGTTTCACAAATCATTGGTGTATGTGTGCTATTGTCGTGGATATTATCATAACACTGCTACGAATTATGTTCTCATCAATTATGGTTTATTGTCGAGTATTGTCCAGTTATCTTTGATGTGTTGTATTGTCTCACGTTAACTGACGAAGATGTCACTCTGTTCATGTTTCATTTTGCAGCTTTTATGTCTCTTGAAGTTCAACTTCTCACTCTGTTCATGTTTCATTTTGAAACTTTAATGTCTCTCTAAATTTTCATCGGGTTCCGAAACATTGGTTTAATTCATTCTGTAAATTCTTAGCAAGCCGCTCACGTCTTCTTATCATCTCACTATTAAGTTCGCGTCTTAGAGTCGTTTGCTGACGATTTTCGATCATATTCGAGAAATTTACATGTTATATTATTGTGATAATTGTTTTGCGCTGGCTACATTGACCGTATTAACTCTTTGTAAATCACACTTACTTAACTTTATTTAATTCAGCACTCTGTGATTTTTGCATCGGTTAATGATTTTTTTTACAAAGAGAAACGATTCTATATGAGCAGTATTGAATGGTTATTATTGTGTTAAATAATTTGATATTTTATTAAGGATCTCTGTATTATTCGCTGCACTCAAATTAATGAATACTTGTTGGATTGTGTTGTCATGAAATGTTTAAAGCGTTGACTTGTATTCAA